CTCCATGTCGTGTGTCACAGTGGTGACCTTATGGCCGTTGCCGAGAACCACAGTACCTTTGGACTGATTGCATCCCAGATATTAACCCAGGCCGGTTTCCGGCTCAGTGATCAGCTTCTCGCGAAGCAGCTCTCAACCCTTTTTGAGGTTGTTCTTTTGACCAGCCATCTTAAAGTCGTCCACAGAGACCACAAGAACTAATTGTAGTTCAGGATGGGTATAGCCAGAAGGCCATTCTTCACCAACCCATTGAACGCACCGATTCATCGCAGTGCTGTTCCCAAAATGTACCAGCATCAGGATGACCGTACAAAGCCTTCACCAAACGAACCACGGGTCTTTTGAACTGATTCCATCGTTCTGTATCATCCTCAGGAACTGCTTCGGCTGGAAGCTCGATCCAACAAGGTGTACCCCGCAAAGTGGCCTGGATATATGCTTGTACCGCATCAGCCATCTGCACATCCCATCCGTCAAGGCAACCTCAACAGTCCATCTGGAAGCTTCGAAAGTTGCAGAAAAATTCCCCAGATCTTGAAACAATGCCCGACGTCTGGTTCTTATCTGGTTCCCAAGCACCACCCCACGACCTTTGTATTTTCTGCGTGGGTCTTCTTCCGAAAGTTGGGAATGTTTCTCAACTATTATACCATGCGCCCTGGCCATGTGCACTTCTTCGTTCTTCTGTCTTGCCTCGCGAGCGACATCGTAGTACTCACGGATTACAGATAGATCAAAGACTCCTTGGTCAATTAGACCTTTCCATTCCTTCTTCATGGGGTCCATCGCCTTGGTGTTGGTAAGCATCTCGGCCCTTCCCACAGGTCGTGATACCATTGCATTGATTATTCTTGCCACCTTGACGACCTTCTCACGATGATCTTCTTCGGCCGGAACACAAGGCATCTTCGGGTAGTCGCCCTCAGGGCAATCAACCATTGGCGACGCCGCGCAGGTTCGCAAACACAAATCGCGCGCTGCCAGGTCCTCCCACTCAAAAAATGTATGTCAGTTCATCTGTACATTCGGACACATTTCCTCCCGTCATGGTGCTTTCTGAACAAGTGTCATCCATGTTCTCCAACACTTCCCCATCATGGTCGTTCTCTGGGATAGATGCGAGACCTTCCCTTGGAGTAAACTTCCATGCGTAGATAACCACCAGGATCCCATAGACCTCGTCCAATGTCACATGGGTTGCACCAAGATCTTGAAGACGTTTGGAGTCCATGCGCAAGACTGACCCATCGACCGGGTTGACAATGCTCCTCGTCCAATCCAGGTCCGCCAAGAACTTTACCTCAACAAGGTTCTTGACCTTATTTTGTGTTCTTCCGTATGCCCCAGTTGTACAACCACTGATCACCACCCCCTCTTTCTTTGAGCATAGCTTTGATTCCCTTAGCGCTCGGAGCGTTGACCTTTGTACTTTCTGCAGGTGCGGCGTCCTTCGAGCTACCGGTGCCATCCTTCTTCTTTGGTTGAATCTTTCCTCCTCATCAACACCAATTGCATTCCGCAATATTGCCCCTTCTTCGGTATCAGGGTCTGCTGAATGAAGCACTGGTGACAGCTTCGTGATCTTCGGCCATGGAGGTACATTGATTCTCTCAGCTTCCTTCCGTGATATATATCGACTCTGCGATCTCTCGGCCTTCTTCCTCGCGGTGATCTTCTGTTCCGCCGCGGTCATCATCATCATCATCATCGGATGGTTCCTGTTCGTCGTCCTCGTCTCCATCATCATCGTCGTCAAGCGGATCAGGTGGATTTGGCCCTCCTGTCGCAGCTGGGACAGGAGCACGTCCTAGACCCGAGACCAGGTGGACCGCCATCTCCATGACCACCACCACCTCCCAAATCTCATATTTGCAATAGATCCTACCGCCTCATGGAGTTGGTCGATATGAGCCTGTATCATTGGGTCTTGGTAAGCAGGAAACAAAACAGAACCCGGTCCAAGGCTGTAATCAATTGGCTTCAGAACATTGGGCGCCTGTACACTAGAACTAGATGCCGCCATTGTAGTCTGATAGAGCATTACCTGACCGTGTTGTTGAGGCCCATTTGTGGTATCACTCTTACGCATCTTCGAATTGTGGCGTTTCCCGGCCCTAACGGAGTCATGCCTCAGTAGAGCTCGTCCACGATCTTTTGCATCCGCCGCGATGGCGATTTGGGTGGCATTCTCGCTCTCGAGTTCCTTGTTCGTCTCTGCCAACTGGTACACAAGGCTCTCTTGGATCTTGAGTTCTTGTCGTGTCTCTTCGATTTCTTCGGACATTGCAGCGATCTGGCTGAGGTAATCGAATTTCGCATCAATAGCCTTTTGTCTTGATGCTGCGAGTTCGCGAGTCACGTCGACAAACTCCTGATCCCTCAGCGTGGCGCGATCATGTAATGCGTTTCCTGGATGAGCTCGATCTCTAGCGATCTTGATCTCCTCATTCATCTTCGCGTCGCGCTCCTGTACTGCACGTTGTCCAATCAAATACATCTCATCCCGTTCGCTCACGGCAACCCGTGCGCAATGGGCTTCTTGTTCAGCGTACCTGATAGCATCATTTGCTTTGCTCACCAATACGTTTTTTGGCTCATCATCGATCGCCATTTTTGGTTGCGGCAACAACGCTGTCTCCAATCTCTCACGCAAACCACGAATGGTGTTCTCCTCGTTCTGCGAGTCCGTAGCGATCTTCACCTGGTAGGAGTTGATCATCGATTGATACTGAGCGATCTCGGAAGAAGTGCTCCTTCTTTCTTAATTCAGCCTTATTCTCGCTCACCAATGAGCTTCCTTCCTCGCACCTGATTCGATGTTCAAGCAGATTCACGGTCGCGGCCATCTCCTGATGTCGCTTCTCGTGCTCGAGGACTTTAAGTCGGGCTTCGTCTTGATACTCTCCGTGAATGTCAATGTATTGAGCAGCTTCTCGAAGTTGTGCGTCGGATCTCTTGAGGATATGGGCTACTTGTTGTTCCAACATACCTGCTCTACGTTCCAGTTCGTGGATGCGCGTGACATTGCCCCCCCCTGGTCGTAACGTTCATATGACTCCTGTAGCATAGCCAAATTGCGCTTAGCCTCCTCCACTTCCTGCTTGAGGGTCTTGTTCTCCTGAGTGATCTTAGACGGACTAGAGCCTGTAGGCGATCTGGATCGCCCTTTTTCCTTTGTCACAGGCCTCATGACACCCTTGTCGATAATGAAGCTGATGACGATCTCTTCTTTTATCCGTCTTTGGACCACACGGCATGACCAACTTCCTTCCAGGATGAATGTGATAGGTGATGGCTAATATCAGAACTTGCACTTTGTTGGGTGTCCGGAGAGTCTGCAACCGCCGGCACTGCAAGCATACCTGTGGAACCGCTGGAACTATCATTTCCAAATGTTGCAGTTCCCGGGCTTCCGGAAGAATCGATTGTACGGCTGTAAATATATTTCAAAAGGTTGTGTTGCACCGCAGTTGCCATCACCGCAGGGACCAATTTTGAACTTACGGGTGATAACCTGCCAGGAGGCGGATCAACCACGTAATCAAATGACAAGGCAGTTGGGGATCGACTCCCGTGGGGTGACCAATACGCTCGACAGTAAGTCGTCTAGTAGTGGTCGTGGTAAAAGGGGGTTGTAAGGTAAATGATCTGCGTCGTCTCACGACTCGATGCGACCGCGGAAGACGAACCCTTTTGCTTTGTTTCACAGCTGTGTTTGGATGTTTGCCTCGATTCTTTTATCAAGGTCTTGAGCCAAATGCATTCGCATGTACATGTCGGCTGCGCACAAAACACAATTCCCTCAAAGGTTTAGGACCTTAAACAAGGGGAAGTAACAGGGGTGACCCTCAGAACCTGCCCTTAGGATATTTTAGCCTGCGGCTCGGAGATTCTTAGCAGACATCTACTATCTAGGGGGCCCTCGATTATTAGGGGGACGAGCAGGAAACCCTCGAAAGAGGAGAAGGCATCATCTGCGCAACCCCCTGCTAAACTAATCCCTTCCCCTCATCAGCAAACAACCCAAACATGCCAACTGCGCAATTATAACGTCTTATATTATTAGGGGTCCCCGGTTCCAGGCGCTGGGTGTTCAGTGTTGTGTTTTTTTGCACTTCTGACGGGGACAGGGTCAAAGCCGAGAGGTCTAACAAAAACTGTTTTCAAGGAAGGGTCTTCTCTTCTTACAAACGCTGAGCCTCCTAGAAGAGGACAGTCGATAGATCAATACTGGTTTCAAATTGCATGAACTATTCTAGTGAAGGATTGGGCCTTGACAAAAGCATCTACTATGTAGGGCGCCGTCTATGGTAAGGGGACGAAATGACCACAAACGCTCGCTGTCAGCACGCTTGCTCAACGGCATGCATTAGGGGAACCCGCGTTCTTGAGGGAACTTGGCTCCAGCGAATCGTCTTCGCAATTCGTCTTCGGGTTGGAATTCGTCTTCGGAAATTCGTCTTCGCAATTCGTCTTCGGGAGGGAATTCGGCTTCGGGGGAGAATTCGGCTTCGGCGAATTCGTCTTCGCAATTCGTCTTCGGGGGTGAATTCGGCTTCGGAGAATTCGTCTTCGCAATTCGTCTTCGGGGGGGAATTCGTCTTCGGGAAATTGCCTTCGCAATTCGTCTTCGGGAGGAATTTGGCTTCGGGAGGGAGCTTGGCTCCGGCGAATTCGTCTTCGCAATTCGTCTTCGGGTTGGAATTCGTCTTCGCAATTCGTCTTCGGGGGGACATTCGGCTTCGGGACGGAAGTCGGCTTCGGGAATTCGTCTTCGCAATTCGTCTTCGGGTTGGAATTCGTTTTCGGGAATTCGTCTTCGCAATTCGTCTTCGTCTGCGGGTGAAAAAGTGGTACCGCCCCAGCGGCTGCAATGTCAAATCGGACGACCTAGCTGGATAGTTTTCACCGATGAGCAGCGTGCTGCCTGGAAATGGGGCTATGCTTTGTTCTCCTCGAAAACGGGTGCGTGAGGCTGCAGCTGCCACTGAGCTGCTGGCATGGGCGTTTGCCTGCCTGTCTCACCAGGTCCGGGCGCCGAAGCCGGTGTGGCACCTGCCCGGCTCGAATTTCTCTAAGAGCTACAAACGAGTCGTCTTTGTTGCCGTGGTTGAACCAGCTAGAGGCTCTGGGCACTCAATAGGCGCCCAGGCCGCCCGGCCTTTGTGCCAGACCCCCGCGCAAACCGCTAGCACGGCCACGGCGGCGGCAACGTAGCCTGGCCCATGAGCGGCCACAACCGCGCGGAACCACAGCCCGCGCCTGCATTCCTTGCGGCTTGCCCCTGACAGACTGCTTTGCGGGAATTGCACATGCCATGCCCTGTTGCACTTGTGGCAGTATCCTGCCTGCCCTTGCTGTGTGCTAGCTGTCTTCCATGGCATTGGCCAGTCGAGAGAAAGAATGACCACCGCTCACCACACTTCGGCTTTGTTTTTGCGAAAGGGTTTGAAACAGAGTTTCGGGATGGATAAAACAGGCCCTAACCCACCAACAAGAAGAGACCACCTTATCCCCCCGGTCCCAAGGGCAAAGCGGTTGCCCTCGGCCGGCACAAACACGAACCAAAAGGGGTGCCAGTTTAACAAACAGAAGAAAGAACCCAGCAAGGGCAGCAGCGCAGCAAGCGCACGAGCAGCAGCACCAACGCGGGCAAGCAAAGCGAGCGAAGCAAGCAAAGCAAACCAATGCAACAACCCAACAAAGCGAATGACCCACCTCCGCCAGGAGACCAACCGCGGAAGAAGCGGCCCGCACCTTTTCCAGGTACGAGACGAAGTCCGCGCCGTTGGCGCTAGCGACGAAATGGCAGACGCTCGTCGCCGGTTGTAAAAGCTTGAGCCAAAAGCCGCGTTGGGCTTCGGCATGAAACATGCTATGATAAAAGTACATGCCCCCAAAAACACCCCCCTCGCCTGTACAAAGAGAAGGAGTGAATTTGGAAGGGCGCATTGGCCATGTTGAAGTTGAAAAGCAAAAAAACAAGAAAACAGAGCCGATTAGGCTACCAGGGTTCGCGGCCCCATACCCGGGCACTCATTGGTGCCCGGATCCCGCCACCACCCCGAATTACGGGTATGGGGCGGATTCGCGCCGGTAGCCAAATCAAACAAGAGAAAGCAAAAAGAAACAGAAACAAAGATTCAACTCCAGAATGGCAGGCATGAAATAAAAATACATTTGCACTGCAACCACATCGAACCGTAAGGTTCGAGTGGATTTATTTCCTGAATTCATGATTTAGGCGCATTGGCCCACTGGTTGAAACGTGGTGCTTCGACCACAAGACCACGGTCTTTAAATTAGCACCGTCTAGGCGCGCGATCACGCAAAGACCTTCGGTAGGAACACCACCAGCTGCAATCAGCGGTTCAGGTCCGAATAGGACCTCACCGGCAGCGGTGCAGCGCATCCGTGATCCTCACCACAGCACCTTGATGAGCTCCATCACCAGCAGCAGCAGCGGTGCTGAAGAAAGCAGATCACCAGCGGCCATAGACGCCGCCGAGGATGACTTCCTTGCTGCGGCGACATACACCTGACAGGTAATCGCTGCCTGCGCGAATAGCGCACAGCTGCGCATGCAGTTGAATTCCGAAATGGCGAATAGCCCAAACACAGAAATACTACAAGGAGCATAGTCCATTATGTGAATTCCGGAATGAAAGCACGCGCGCGTTGGCGCCGCCACGCAAAGGATGCAGACGAACATCAGGTATCACCGATGTCGTCCGCCGCCGTGCCGTCCCCTCCCCTTGTTGACGTTCCAGTCCCCAGGAGGAGGAGGCACGGTCTCGGCCAACTCATCATCCGCACCCCAGGTAGGGGTATGCGGCGAGTTCGGATTCTCGAACTCGCGGGGATCACCCTGCATGTGCGGCTGCCAACCCTGCGGCATTGCGCCAGGCCACATTTGCGGCATCATGCCAGCCATTGGCTGTTGCATGTACCCTCCCATTGGGAAAGCGGGGTACATCGGACTCGGGAAAGGGTAAGGAGCTGCCTGAGCACCCTTGTATCCCGACCCGCGAGCATCAGGCTGATACCCGCCAGTGGGAGTTCTCGATCTGGCGGATCCGCCACGACCGAACTGCCCTTGTTGGTAGCCGTATTGGCCACCCTTGCCTTTGTACTGATCACCTTTGTGACCCTTTCCTGGGAACTGGTCACCCTTGTGACCTCCGCCCTTGGGCCATGATTGCGCAGGGGCTTTGCCCTTTTGCTGATCACCCTTTGACCTGGATTCAGGTCGCGGGGTAGCAGACCGCTGGTCTCCCCTAGGAGTGGCTGCCCGCCTGTGGTGCTTCCCAGGCGCATTGGCCGTCGCGCCGCGAAGCGGGGACCATGTCAACCTTGTTGTCTTCGACATAAATGTATGCCTCAGCATACTCAATTGGGGCCGTGATGGATCCACCACCGGCCCGCAAAGAGTCGATACTCCAATCAAGAACAGTGGAAGCATCGAAACTCGGATCTTCAGTATTGAAGTCCGTGAGGCGTCGCTCAGCCTGTACCAATGACATTATGATGTCCGCGCGTGAGGCGCCTAGGCCATACAGCGGAACCAAATACCCGTCCTCAATCCCGATGCGGTAGGCATCAAAGATATGCACGGAGAGGTAAAGGGCAAATGCTGAATTTAGACTGCCCTTTCTCGTCATATGACGACCCCATTGCGCCGCCTGTTGCGGGTGCTCGATCAAATATGCCAAGACAGACATATTGTCGGGAATCGAGACGCCAGTGTTGCTCTCCTCGATGAGCAGCTGTTTCGCTACCCACCGCTCGAGAGCCTCATCACTCGCCCGCACACAAGCGTGAGTGTCCTTTGAGGTGACCTTTGCAACCTCCTGAAACGCAACTTGCACAATGTCCGCGTTGGGAACGTGCACAAGATGCGGCGCACAGCGCAAACCGGTGATCATACAGCTGACCACCTCGCGGATCGGGTTTACCGATGCCATGAGAGGAGCCCACGCGTCGGTCTCCCCTTCGTACCAGCTACTGGCACGGACTGCCTTGAGTCTCTCTAGCCAGATTGGCTGCCCATTCTTAACCAGAGAACGGACGGTGCCTGGCACCCATTCACGATAGAAAATCGGCAGATGGCAACCATTGCATAGAATGGTGCCATACATGTTCAAATGCGCGCACCGAGGGCACCAGTAGTCATGCATGGGAGCATTGTCCCATGAAAATGACACCCCTCTCGGCGGTCCCTGAACATTCAACTCACGAACCGCCCAGGGACGGATGTATATTACATCCCCTTCCTGGTGCAGATAGCATGCGCGCCAGAAGGGTGCATGTATCTCTTCCCGCACGGCAATCAAACCGCGTCGGGTTTTATAGATGCCGGCGGTTTCCTCGATGGCCATCCACTTTAGGTCAATGGCCACAACGACATGGCGCTTGTCCATGTATTTGACGCGATCGTCAACATAAAATTCGCCCTCATTATTGGGGCTGGGCAACTTGAGGAGAGGCACCTTTGCGCCCTCCATCCCAATCATGATCTCCCCCCGGCAGACCTGCTCAGGTCGCATGGGAAAAACCGTGATGGCGAATTTGCCTGGCCTCCGGATGCACCTCGTTTTGAGGGCGGACCGATACTCGGCCATCGTCAGCAGCACGTATCCCGTATAAGGGACTTCCGCTGCTACCATCGGCCTGAGCAAAGGCCCCATTGGCGTTCGGTCACGCAGTGCCCAACGCTTGAAAACTTTGAACGGCACGTCCCTCCCGATTAGGGTGGACCGCGCAAAGAGCACCTCATTCGGGCGCTCAGACGTGCCATCTGTCCTCCAGACCTTCCGTATTAGGAGCTCGACTGGAGGGTACGATGGGTTCTCCTTTGCGAGAGCACCCGCCCAGGTCGCTACCTCGACACTCGTGCACTTGTGGATCCCGTATAGGGCCTCAAGTAGCGTTGAGATCAGTGTCATTGACATCCAACCTCCCAGAATGTCTGGAACCGTCCCAAACAAGAAGGGGGGCTGCTCACCGGGCTTCACGTTTAACCGCGTTGGGTCAGTGTTGCCCGACAAAACTTCTAGCAGCATTTGCGATTCCCTGGAGCTTCGTCCAATAAACGCCGACACATCCCTAATCTCGGGGAAAAAATGGAAGATGTCATTACCGGCAGGACAGGCGATTCTGCCTGCTATCCCGCTCTGCGCATCAATCATAATCTCCTCACCCTCGTATGTGAGGTTGTATGTGCTCGTGATCGGGCACACACCGGGCTTTGCCGTCAGTGCCTCTTCTAACGATGCACCTGCTGGGAGGACGCCCTGCACATGCGACTTGGTACCTATGGAACCAGTACTCGCTGACATAAGCCGATAATTTTCGGCGCGAAAGTGCGGAAAAAGGTTCTTCATCCTCTCAATTTCCTCTTCAGTGGTGCGCCACGCCTTTGCCTCATAGTAAGGCGGCTCCTGCTTTGAGGGCACTAGGTCGCGGTCACCCATTGATGAGAATTTGTCCACATATGGGCCCATCCCATCATCATCTACATGACTCTCGTGATCTTCATCCGAGACGTACTCCTTGGGCGGCTCGCCCAGAGCGTCCAGATCGACCTTACCAAGGTCGACCAGCGCCGGAGAATCCAGGACTCTCTGGATCCTCATGAGCTCATTCCTAAACTGCTCAAAGCCTCCGGCCTTGTCAATCACGGAGGTCGGCATTACGCCCTCCCATGATTCCGGAAACATGCACACGTTCGTAGGGGAAAACTCATCATCGGAAATATCCCGATCACGCTCCCGTACGTCGCTGATTAGCGTCACGTCCAACGAGCCGCCTAGGGCCTCGGGACGCGACGCTTTCGCCGGATGCGGCTTTGCGCTCTTTGACGCTACAGCAGCCTCATTGGCCGCTTTGTCCTTCTTCTCGTCACCCTTACTCCCCTCCTTGTCCACATCCATTTCGGATGGCTGTGCGCTCCCCCCTGCTCTGCCCATTGGCGGATCAGAGGGTTGAACAGGGGATTCCTTTGTACGGGCTTTGCCGTAATAATGCCCTGGGATCTGCACGTTCCCAGTGGAGCCACCGCCGCCTCTCGCGGACGCTTGGCGGCGTGTGCCGACCCAGTATGGACAGCAGGCGCCGATCGCCTAGGAAGGCCCTTACTGGCCGACAGAGATGGAGGAGGTGGCTTCGTTTTGGGAGCCGGCTCCGCCTTGGGCTCCGACTCCGGTTCAATTACGCAGGACTTGAGGTCGAAACTTTCAGACCTCAAAAGGCCCGCGCAATAGGAACGGAAAACGTCCTCAACTTCCCGAGCAAGGAACTCGGGATGGTCATCCTCCCTCGGAGGTGTTCTCCAGCCGTCGTATCCATTGAGCAGATTCCTGCCCACGATTTCATTGAATCGATA